CTCCACCAGTGTGTGACTGGGTGGATGACTGGGAGTGTAAAGCGCCTTGGGGTCCTTAGGGACTAGTAAAAGCGCTATACAAATATAGGCCATTTAGCATTTATATATCAAAAGATGTCAGGAGTAACCGAGAGTAAAAGAAAAAAGTGATAAAGTCAGAGAATTAGAGGTCGGCAGAGAAAAGACAAATTAAAAAAATAACTGATACTTACACGACACTTTTTTATCCTCAGACTGACTCAAAACACTTTCTGCTCACTTTTGGCCTCATTTACCCCAAAACATGCATCATACTCACTTTTATCTATGCCTCTATGCCACATTCACATTCCAGAGAACTGAGGGAAACTCAGGGTTCAGTATTTTGGGCACTTCAAGATGCACACTGAAGGAAATCGAACAGCTAACTTCTGATATGTAGGAGACCCGCTCGACCTCCGGAGCCACAGCCACCCTACGGTGGGCAAAAGAGGGAACTTTGTAAATGAGTCTTGTAAATGTTTTTGCACATATGCTTGGTAACATCTAGTATTAAGGTCAACTTAACGTCTAACTACTTGCTCTTTGCATTTGTTCTTTATTAACCGATATAAAACACTTATTTATGACATTTTCTATATGAAAAAAAGCACAAACGACCACATATTTCATGAACACTGGGCAAGTTACTGGGACTGGGAATGATTGCTTAAAAGCATCCTAATTAGGCCAACTGCTCTTTGTAAATAAGAAGTGTTTGGTTTCTGCACAACAAAAAGATTCTGAAACTATTCATCAAGTTTCGGATGTGGTCCGCGATGTGGACCCACTCAGATGTGTTCCACATCACGGTCCAGTTTAAAAGATAAAGTTCTATTTTTTCCCAATTTTGTTCTTCTGTTACAGAATGTGTATTTTCAAGGTTTAATGCAACAGTTGAAAAAAATGTAACACACACATAATACAGAACCCCTTTAATAGAATAATTAGAGTTGTTAGGGATTTGCTAAATTCATGTTTTACTTCCCTACAGACTGGTGACCCTGGCCCCTTCTGGAGGCAGTAGCTAAATTTAGTTCCAGGGAATATTTCTGTCTGATGTAGTTGCAGCAATTTGGACAATTTGACACTAATTTTGCTAAAACTAACATTACTATTCAAACAATACTACCTCAGTGTGTCGTATGCTCACTGTTGGTGAAGTGCCTCTAAAATAAGACTGTAAAATAGATGGAGTGGTGACAGTGAGTCACGCTTTTGGTTTGCAGATTGCAAGTTGCACACTTGTCATTTTGGGGATTACCATGTTGGTTTTTTGAAGCCAGACATGACAATATTCAGACAAGAGGGCAAACCTGGAAATCTGTCAGTTAAAGCTTTGTGAAACAAAATGCATTCATAATTCACTGTGATGTGAAATCGGGATGCTGACGTCATGAGTGTAAAAAACAGAAATCATCCACTTCACAGTTGCCAAGCTGGAAATTTTATCTATAGATACCAAGAACAATGTAACAATGTTTAAACATAAGCATGTTTATTTCGGCTCTGATGGGCTCACAGTTTTTGGCACTTTCACATAATTTTTCATCTTGGTCACCTCATTACTCTTATTTAATCTTCAGCGTTGTTGTAACCAACTGGGCTGAAGAGGAGGAGTGCAGGTAGAGTCACTTGCTAAAAAGAGTTTATTTTTATACTTAAGCAGTCTTATTCTTGGAAACTATTATGGAAATGCAGATAACCAAATGGTCTGAAGGAAAGAGCTTTTTCAGTTCCTCGAAAAAAAAGGTTCTTGGAAATAAAAGATCTGCATATTTTGTGTGAAAAGCAGCCAGCTGTGAACGAGTGACCTTGTGTGACTGTCTTTGTACTTCGGAGACAGTCACACACGTGCATGAAGATCAAACTGCTGGGAAATATGAGTAAAACTTCCCTTTAGATAGAAAACATGTTCAGAGTTAGAAAACCTATTTAGACACTTCAAACAATTGTTAGTTTTTGCTGGTTTAGACTAAAAAACCTGAAGTACTGAAAAGGAATTAATGTACCACTTCTGTATGTTATTAATAGGCAGTTATTAGAAGGTAAAGAAGTAAAAGTCTCAATTCCTAGTAGTTCTAAAATATGGCCAAAGACATTTTAAATTCTCTAAAATGGCAAATAAACAGCATAAATAAGCAGCTAAGTGCTGTATGCACCTTGTTAGTTCACTAGCTAGCTAGGTGATGTGAAAGACAATGAGGTGATCTTTAAAGTTTAAAGCTTGAGAATAGAATTAAACCATTTAACAAGATGTTAACAATTCAATTCAATAAAACTTTATTGATCCTGAAGGAAATGAAATTAAATATTGAGTTTTTCTTTTATTATTTTAACACCTCGTGAGGATTATTTGCCATTATATTCACTATGAGCAATAAACCACGTTGAGCTAGTATTAGCGGTTTGTTTAAAAATATATTTTTGCTTTTCCAGTAGATAAAAATAAAAGCAGAAATCTGCATTATGTTTTTACTGTCTGTCTGTGAGTTAATTTTAGTCGTTTCCATAAAAGCATCCACTACAATTTAGTCACTGTAGACGTTTTAAAAGAGACTAAAATAAACTGAGTTATGTCTTAATTATGGATGTAAAGATTTTTCACATTATAGTAGCTATATAACTCTAATAAGACGCCTTGGTTTAGACATAATGGTTTTGTCGAATCATCATTTTACAACCTCTATATACTTACTGTCCCTGGTCTTTCAGCAGCGGGTAAATGTGGAAGCGTATAATTTCCGAGATGTCAAGTGCTTATTTAGAACAGATGTATTTTGGTGCTGGCGTCTGTCTCCTCTCAGTGTGGATCCCAGCATGATGTTGAGTATTTGTGTTGAGTTGAACTGGGGTTTTAGAGGGTGCTAGTTTTGTCAGTTTGCGGTGAAGCCTTTGAGATTTGTGGCAGATGCGGTTGAAGAGCGGTGGTTTGAGGTTTAGAGGGTTTAAGGATTCATTTAATCAGGGTCTCGGTGAAAGCTTTTTTCTCGCTATTCCCATCAAGTTTGTTAGTTTTGATGCCTGGCACTGGTTTCCAACTGGCAGGAGGCCCGCCAAAAGCTGCAGGTGTTGACTGCAAGGTAAATATTTCCTACCACATGAATCACCCTGGTAACATCCTGCACCCTTAGAGTCTCACAGCAGCTGTAATAACTTTATTGCATGTTTAAACAAAAAAGAAATCATAAATGCAGAGTGAGGTTTATGATTTAAAGAATATACTGAGGATAGAAACTCGATATTTTCCACACAGCTTTGCTCTCTAAATGCAAAATCTTGCACTCGATCTCTCTACTGTGAGGTCGGAGCTGAATGTCAGAGGGAGCGACTAAGGCTTGGATCCTCTGTGGTGTCATGGAGGGTGTGGCACAGCACAACCAAAGCCATATATCTAAAATTACCTCTAGATGGACAGCTCTGGTTGAGTCCTGTGGGTCAGATGTGGTTGGTGGCAAACTCGCTCCCAGTGGGACAGCTGGCACTCTCTCACCAGCATGCCCAGTTGCATCATGTCCTCGGTCCAGATGAGGTCGGCCCCGGTTGGGATTCGTCCACTGTGGCCTGTCTGGAGTAAGCTACCACATCTGATACACTCGTCCACGTGGCTCTTTGATGTGGCCTCGTTAATGATCACTGGTAGCTGTGTTTATCCGTGTGCTGAGTCATTTTTCCAGAGCTCCCTGAACAAAATAGCAAAGGTGTATTTTCTAACGCCACTTTGGTGTTCACGTGTCGCAGTCTGTTCTAGGCCGTTTGAATTTATCGCTTGGTAACCAAAGATAATAGACGGTGCCCTTCAGTGATGAAATATTGTAGCAATCAGTGTTTTCACTTCATGAAATAGTGTTAAAATCAAACATTCAGCTCTTTCTTGGGACAGATATTTGTATAATATTGATTCACAGAACACAAATATTCTGGGAAGTCTCGAATGATTCATGAGTGAAGTTCAAAACAAGACTGTGAGGAGAGAAAGTGTAACTGTAAAAGACCAATCAAGTCACAACGAGGTTAAAATGCTTCTTCTCAATTCAACACTTACCCACCACTCACACATCAACACACACACAGCTTTTATCCGTCTGTACATGTCGGGTTGTGCAAGTCTCTATTTGATGTGTGACTTTATAGTATTTAAATCACATCCTTTGTGACTTCTGTCAAATTGGAAACCAGATGGAAAACATCTGGTGGGAGGGGAGTTTATGCTTCTGTGTGCGACAGTGTGTATGCTTGTGCTTGTCAGCGACAAACCAATAATGGCAGCTATACACGCCGTGCTGACGTGTGTGTGTGACCTCCATGGTCGTGTCTGTGTCCACCTTTCATTAAAATAATAGACAAGGAGCACAGAGGTGCTCATTTGCTACCGTGTGGGAGTGTGATTGGGTTAATTCTTAGGCCTTTAAACCACACGCTGTCTATTTATTTTCCAAAGTCTGTGTCTGGTTAAAGTAGCCTTAGAAGTTCCCAGTTTAAAACAAACTGGCTTTTAGGGTGTTGGTTTGTAGTCACCCATGGGAGCGTTTACCAGAGGATGATGCTCTTCTGTGTTTTCACTGGTTTTGTCTTCAGGTTTCACCGAGGTGCCGACGAATATCCCTCGAGACACCAAGTTCCTGGACCTGCAGAACAACCGCATCACTGAGATTAAAGAGAACGACTTCAAAGGCCTTACTAACCTATATGTAAGAGAAACACTGCACAGCATGTTCCCCTTCACAATAAAGGCACCACGGCTGTAACATTTTTCACTGCCTGAATGGACCCACAGCGAAACAGCCTCCTGTGTCTCACACAACCTGGATTCACAACAATCAATCAAGAAATGATTACAGCTCTAATGATTCATTCTCAGGTTACTAAAACATGTAAGGAGTTTATATTTTAACCTGTGGGACTGTTAAGTAGCTATCTACTCCTTTTTCATTAAAGGCATCAGCATTTACAGCACTCAGCTGCATTTAGAAAAGATGTTTTGATTCTGTATTAAATTTCCTGTATTTTCACAGCAATTTGTTTCAGTTACATTTGTTAAGATTCGGCTCAGATCTGCGACTCGGTCTTCTCAGCTTGTGTTGGCTTCAGTAGTGAGAAATATAATTAAGACCCCCATTTCTCTGGGATTTAAAGGTTAATTTCCTTGCTTTCTGTCGTCCTCCACTATGAGAGCTTTAATTGTATTAAAGTTGGAGCCTGAAGCCAGATGGGAGTATTCAAGCTCTCAGCAATGAGGCTTTGCTTACTGCTGACCCATATTCTGAAGCTCTGACCAAGAGAAATATTAAGTCTGGCAGTTTAGGAAACCCCTGACATGAAATTACACAATACCATCTCTATTGAGTTCTGCTTACATCAAACTGTCTCCATCTTTCAGCCAGTGTAGGTGGGAGTCTTCTAGCTGAAACACAGTAGGAGCAGCATAAATAATGATTTTCACATTTTGTGCTTCATTTTCTGACTTCCTGGTAGCTCACAGACCAGACGGGTGTTGAATTTGGCCTCTCTTTGGTTGTTGCTTCTTTTTAGGGCCTGTCTCTGAGGAATAATCTTATTTCCAAAGTCCACCCCAGAGCATTTGTTCCTTTGAAGCACATGCAGAAGCTCTACTTCTCCAAGAATCTGCTGACCACTATCCCCAAAAACCTGCCTGCCTCGCTGGTAGAGATAAGGATCCACGAGAACCGCATCAGGAAGGTCCCAGCTGGAGCGTTCGCAGGACTGAATAACATGAACTGCATAGGTGAGAATCCTAGAGTATATTCTGTGAGGCTTTGCTGCTGTGGTGCATTGGATTTTAAAGATTAAAGGGAAAGTATTTTATTTCATGCTATGATGTTTTTTGTTTTTTACAGAAATGGGAGCAAATCCCATCCAGAACAGTGGATTTGAACCTGGAGCTTTTAAGGGATTGAAAGTGAATTTTCTGCGTATATCAGAGGCCAAACTAACCGGAGTCCCAAAAGGTAAAAACGTAGCTTTGTGGCTAAAATGCTAAAGATCTATTTGGTAGATTTACAGTAGAGTGTCTTCTTTACTAAATATATACAGCAGCGTTTTTTATGTGCCCTGTAGCACATTGTGATAGACAACAAAAACATTTTAATGCTCAGATTTCTGCATCTATGATCAAACCTGTATGACCAAAATAGTGACAAAGTGTATCTAATAAAATGTATCCATTTTAGATATTTAAATAAAAAGCAAATGGTCAACATGACAAAAAATGAAAGTCCAGCGAGACACAAATCTGTTGTCTCGCTGAAGTTAAGTCTTACTATGTTATCTGCACCTCAGATCTCCCACAGAGTCTCCATGAGCTCCATCTGGACCACAATCAGATCCAGGCTGTGGAGCTGGAGGACCTGAGCCGCTACAAACACCTCTACAGGTCTCCTTCACACAAACACCAGACTCATTCCTGACCACAGCTGAGTTCTTGCACCCTGATTCATTCCCAGTCAGCAGTGCCCCTTAGGGGTAATAATACAAACTACATTGACAGGCCACTTAAAGTAGCAGGGAGCTGACCCACACTGCAGCGTGTGTGGTGTGGAACAACTTTTGTCAGATGATTTGAATATTTATTTGCTGCACATGTTTGGACAACATATGAAAATGTCTTCTGTCAGAAAGAGCCATCATGTCTTTTAATGGCTGTTCCAAGTTTCTTCCATCTCTTTTCTGCAAACGTCTCCCTGCAGGATTCCTCTCGTGTTAAAGGAAAAGTCTTATAGATTGTCTGAGTGATCACAGAGAGCACAAATCCAATCTGCATGGAGTTCAAACTGTAGGTTATAAAAGAAATACAAAACAAATAGACGTAGCCACTGTGAGATCAACCACTGGTTCCTGTGATCCACATTTTGGAGTAATATTGTTTTCTTGGACGATGCAGTTATTATTTTTAGATAATACAGTGGAGAGGTCCTGTTCACCTACTTTAACCCTTATAAGTGGCTCAAAACGACCTGAGGTTGTTTTCTGGGATTATCTTTGTAATGAAAACTCCAAAAAACATGTTTTTAATATATTGAAATTTATACCTGACCTTTCCTACATTTGACAAAAAGACTTTAATCTTCTTTCTATGGAATTTCATGGGAACCTTCTTATCAACTGGGGCTGTCAGGGATATATTTTTAAACCACAAAGAGTGCAACCTGTCAAGGAGATTATTTAACTAACAGACAGCCTTCATTCATCCCCAGTGATTGTGTCACTGTAGGCGACTAGCTCGTGCCGTTCGGGGCCTGACCAAAGTTCATAAGAATCTGGTGGAAACCACCGACCAGCAATTGTGCAGCAGATTCAGAAAGACAAGATGCAGCATCACCACAGATAACTTCCCCCTGTGTGCCTTTGTGCTGCTGGAGACGCTGTTGTGGGGACTCTACAATGGGACAAAGCAGACATCCTTCCTCTGATGAAGGCTACTGACTCCTGGGGCGTTTACAGCACTGAGTTTGGATTCAATGGCAGCCTTACAATGGTCAGCTATGTCAGCAAGAGATGAATGACTGTTGTACCCCTGAGCACAATGTATCACAACAACATGGTGGCTGGTACCAGAAAAGTGAAAAAAGCCACAATTTTTCATATTGTAAAACAAGAACAAAGCAGATGTCGATGCTATGGACCAGATGGTTGGCGCCCACTCTGCACCTGCAAGTGTAAAACATAGAGGTGGCCCACGGTGCTGCGGTACAACTTGACATTGCCAGCCTTGATGCCGACACCTTCTTCACAGCTAAGCACCCTGAATTCAAGAAGGTATCACCAACGCACGATGGTGTGGTGTGGCAATAAGAGAAGTCGGCTGGAAGTTGCCTCCAACTGCAAACTCCAATCAATGAAGCAAAGGTGTAGGGTGCCAAAAGCTAAAACTCAGCCACAGGAAAAAGCAGACAGGGCCAACCAAAGACAACAATATTTCATATAACAAAGATCATAAAGTCAGCAGTCGGTGTGGAAATGTGATGTGTGCAACGACAGCCAGAAACAGCTGGTTTGTCACAGCTACAGTGACGGGACAAGGCGATAAGAGAGGAATCGTCCGGACACATGTGCATATATTCTCTTTCACACTAACAAATTGATCGTAACATTGTTGCTGTTCTGTAACTTTTTCTGTTCTAATTTTCTCAACGTTTAAACATTAAATCATCGTCTTGTGTGGAACAACATTTAGTACAAAATGTAACACAAAGGATTATTCTTAACCAAAACGACAAAAGTATAAACACAATGATCTTAACACGCATCATTTTTGACCCACCTACGGACGAGTGTAGGGTGAGGTCACTCGTGCACGTTAAGGTTAAATATTGGAGGTAAGGGCTGGCAGACAGTCATTGGCTAATGCTCCTCGTGTCAGCAGAGCTGTCATTCAACCAGCACTGCCCTGACTATCAGCCACTCTCCAAAGGAAGTGGGCTAAAGGACGTTCACCATGTAATGAAGGGTTAAACTATTAAACTATGTTTTTATGCCACATTGCAAACATGCTTTTATTGCTGTTAGCGTGGACATTTACCCCAGCAGGAACCTCATTTTGTGCCACATATGCTTCATTTTTCAGCCCATTAAGTTGCTACACAGATGAGAACAAAGACTTTCTTCCTCTGCTCCTGTGGCATCGTGCCAGAGACAGGCTGACGTGGCCCTTTCCTCACCTGGCTTAATATAACTTTCTTAAAGTGATAATAATCTGGAATGATCCTGTTATTTCGGCTCACAATACATGAAACATTTGAGTGCAATGTGCCATGCGTCGCCCCATTTTCTGCCTGTTTAAAATGTTCCTTTCGCCTGGCATTCTCCAGGTTGGGTCTTGGGTTCAACCATATCCGCAACATAGAGAATGGCAGCCTTTCCTACCTGACCATGCTGAGAGAGCTGCATCTGGACAACAACCGCCTCACTCGTGTTCCCCAAGGCCTCCCAGAGATGAAATACCTGCAGGTGAATCTAATGTGTGCAACCAATTTTGATTTCCATTTGATATTGATTCTCACAGTGCTCTCTTCTACTGTCCCTCCTCGTGCTTCCTGTTTTAGGTGGTTTATCTCCATTCCAACAACATCAGCCAAGTGGGTGTGGATGACTTCTGTCCTCGTGGATTCGGGATGAAGAGGACGTTCTATAATGGCATCAGCTTGTTCTCTAACCCTGTCAAGTACTGGGAGGTGCAGCCAGCGGCATTTCGCTGCGTGAGCGACCGGTTCACCATCCAGTTTGGCAACTACAAAAAATAAAAACCAGGCAGACGCTGGAAAAGAGGGAGGATGATTGATGAAGGGATGAAGAACGGATAATTTAAATAATGAAATAAAACTTGAGATATGGAGTGAGGGGAATTTATATCTGAGATTATTAATTTTATTATTATTGTTTTTGTAAAGAGGATAAGTGAGGAAGAGGGGGGGCAATAAACTGATGAAACAGAGGAAGTGAAAAATACAATCCCATAACTTGAAGGGAGTGGAAAGCAAAAGGCTTACAGGTCTGCACGTGAATTTTGCTTGTTTTGAATTCAAGGATTTGAAAGTTTTTTCTATTTGATGAAGTCAAAAATGAGAAGAATGTTTTAATTCTGATGAAAACCGAGTGCTTAAAACTCGTGAAACATTTTTTCACAATAGTTCTTATTGTAATTGAGGTCATTCTTCTTATATTAACATTCTGGTTACGATGATGAGAAACGAAATAGAAAAGGCAGCGCATTATAGAGTTTTATATATAAAAGGTGCTTTTTATAACTTTCTGTGTGTTGATTTGGTAAATACATTAAGTCCTCCCTGTTTCACTGAAGCCATTCGGCTCGTCACTCTGTGATTAAATTATTTATAAACCAGAATTTGGGCTTTTCCCACCATCTACAGACAAAGCAGTTGCACTAAAATAAAAACTTCAGTTCAAGATAACAACAAGTGGACTCAACAACAACAAGTGACGGGTTTAAATTCTGCTAAATAAATGTGCCTATTGAACATATTTGACTGAACCACCACCTTGTGCCATTATTACACCATCTGAGCGATACCTTAATACAGTATTTCATACGGAGCAGTACAGTAGTGCGAGTGTGCCCAAGATGGAGACAACACACAGTCCGCTTTGCTTTGAAACAGTGAGAGTAGTGTGTTCACTCTGTGCTACAATCAGTGGTAGTGTCATTGCATCGTTTTGCACAGTTTTTTCTGCTTTGCCTTTTCTGCTTGGAGGTTTACTACGAGGTCAGCCTTTGGTTTTGTTTTGCATTTGTAGACCTATGTGGAAATACTTTAATATGATGTCTTACGTCCTGTCTCTCTTCTGTAATCTGACAACCTACTGCTGCATGTGAATAAAGACATTTTTAGTCTGCTGCATTAAGTGCAAGAACAAGCGATCGCCCTGGGTTTGATGCTCTGTGAGAAATAAAGAAGAAATACCAAAAAAACATTTGATGAATGAATCATGAACTTTGTAAAGAAAGAAGCTAAAGAGAGAAAATGATTCTACAGACAAAGGTGAGTCTGTAGTCTAGGTGAGGACTGTTTCATGCACAACAGATAACAGTGCTCTTTCAGAGCTGATGATCTCACCCACACAGAGAAAAGAGGGCGGTGACGCAGGAAATTCGCCCTAATCAATCAATCAGTACTGGGTGGAAAACCTGTAAAATAAAGTCACCATGACGGATAAATTTAAATTCTCCTTATGATGGCACAGTCAACCTCTCGTCATCATTATTAGCATTTACTGCGCAGGGTCAGATCTTCACTGCTGGCACAATCACACTCTCCTTTAATTTTCAAATGTGCCGCTGTGCGCGTCACCGTGGCGCGCCTCTCCTCCGCGTTCCGATGAGGCAGAGCGCACTTGTCTGTGTGTTTTGTGTTGACACTAGCGGGGTATGCGGCGATGATCTTGCGTGTGAAAACGTCTGCAGCGGTTTCGGAGCAGCTACGGACACATTTCGCGTTGGACGAGAGAGGAAGAGGGCAAAGACGATCGAGCGGCATCAGCAGGAGAAAAACAGCATCTCATAGTCCATCGCGCCGCTGCAGCGACCGTAGCGGCCCGTCGATTCTCAGAGGAAGCCAGGAGCTGGATTTGACATGTCGCAGGGATGTGCTGGTGAGTCGGCTCGTGCATCGGGGTGCGCGGAAGCTTGCGCGAACCTGGGAATAGAAATCTTTGACGTAAACGAGAGCCTTTGCGGGTAACGGGAGAAGTCGCAATGCTGCTGAATAAATGTCACTGACATATTTTCCCTTTAGTTATGTAAATACTGCAATACATGCTCACTGCATGGGCCTAAAGATGGATGCTCATAGGCTAATCACCTGCATGGGAGGTTGTCCCTGGTCGGCGCCTTTGCGTTCATCCACTTCCTTCTTCTTCTTCTTGTTTTTAAGTGAATGAACTGTGTCTCCCTCGGGAAACTTAGCATCATATTAAGTGATTAAGCCACTTGGAAAGCTGTCGCATCTGTTTGGACTGAAGGGGCTGCGATGTTGGGTTAAATTGTTTTACCAGACTCGCTTCCATCCGCGCATCATGAAAATGTCAGCTGAGACGAAGCCATTCTAAATAAAGAAGCAAACATGACATTTGTTTGTAGCTGCTTGTCATTCCCTGGCCTATTTTAGCTGCAGGACTGCTGCTGCATTGTTATGCGTTCTTTTCTTTATCTCGCAGAGAGCCTGATGATGACAGGAGGAGGAGCAGGAGAGACGTGGAGCGAGGCTTTGCTGCTCCCTGATAGGTTTTAATCAGACAAGAACAGGTGCCTGACATCTAGACTGTTGTAATGTGATAATGATACAAAAACAACGGTTACCATGAGGTAACAGCTGTTCTTCTCTTCTTCTTTCAGCTGTTTTGTGTCAGAAGGTGATGGCAGTGCTGACCGAGCTTCACCACTACTATCACCCATTCCTAAAAATGGACGCCCACCTCCAGAGCACCTGAGTCCACATTTAGTGCTCCTTTCTTCCCCTCCCTCTCCTTCTGCCTTTCCTTGCTCATTCTCCACCTCTTCCACAACCCCCACCTCACTCAACTGCAATACTTTCCCCTCATCTCCTCCCATCTCTCCACTCTGTTTCCCTGAATAATGGCGTACTGTGGGCGCTCTCTGGACTCTCCGTGCACGTTAGCCTTGCTGATAGGCTTCCAGTTTGCCTTTGTGCTCTATTTCTCCCTTGGGGGCTTCAGAGGCCTGGTGTCTGTCCTGGTGCACACCACAGAGCCCGAGTTTGATTACTCTCGACCACATGATGTATACACCAACCTCAGTCATCTGGGAGTACCGCCTCCCCCGCCTCGCAACTCTGGCACTGGACCCCCTGCCACCGGCCCACCACTAAGAGACTGCCAGATCCCTTCTCCATTGCTGGGTGAGAGAGAAGGGTGACAAATAAATGTTTGTGAGTGTAGCACACAGTGAAACGCAAAATGATGCTATTCTTTTTGTATTCTTGAGCTGATAGAAACGAAGCCAGAAACATTCTGTCTCCTTTCCTTTGGCCAGTTGGACCCGTGTCCGTCCATCTTTCATCTCCTCTGTCTCTGGAGGAGATCAGACAAAGAAACCCACTAGTGTTGCCAGGTGGACGCTACCGGCCTCCAGACTGTGAACCACGCCACCACACAGCAATAGTGGTGCCGTACCGAAACCGCCAGAGCCACCTCCGTGCCCTCCTCTACCACCTCCACCCCTTCTTGCAGAGACAGCAGATACACTACAGCATCTACATAGTGCAGCAGGTCAGGTTATGTATAAGTGAGTGTGCAAGCTGTTTTATGGCGATTCCTCCAGTGTCTTGTTCAGCGTGATTGTCAACGGCTGCATGTTTGCCTTCCATGAGCAAAAGCATTATGCAGTGGCATTGTTGTTCTAGTGGGTCAGAGGTGCCTGATGATGTTAAGGTGTAA